CTACTTCTATCACTAATGTGAAAATATGTTTAATATGAATGTAAATGTATAGCCTATATCAGATTGTGCGCAGTCTTGGGGAGGGTGAAGGGGAGGAAGGGGGAGAAAAATTTTAAACTCAAAAGCATATGGAAGTGATTATTGATAAATCAAAATAAATTAATAAAAAATTTTTAAAAAATAGATAAATAATGGATATGAACAAATAGTTTTCAAAGGAAGAAATCGAAGTTACGAACAGTGAAATGAAAAAAAAAAAAGGTCCAAATTACTAGTAGAGAAATGCAAATTAAAGCCACTTCAGAGGTTCCAATGTAGAGGACAAAAAAGAAAAATGGCCACTGTGATAGGCACATTGATATAGCTCTTATTGTACTGGCAAAAAACTGGTCATTACCATAGAACACAGAGCCCCAAAGGATTGCCTGCTGGAGCCATTATTTGGGTGGTTTGGGAATTTTTCCAAAGGCACCTGCACAACTGTTCAGGGTAGTTGTTAGTTTGGATCCTAAAATGGTCCAAGAGGGCCAGACAGCCTGGCTCAGAATAGGGAACATCTGGAGCTTGCTCAGCAGAAGAGGGACCTAAGTGGGAGAGTGTTCCAACATCAGGATAAGCATGGTTGGGTTAGAGATAAGGCCCCTGATTGGCTATTACATCTAGGGATGCAACCTGTCTTCCCAGACTTTATCCAAATGGTTGGATTATATAACCTACAGCATGATTGTTACATTGTCTAGAGAAATCAATGGGTAATTACTATTTAAAAACAAAACAAAACAAAAAAAAAACAAAAACAAACACCTCAGCCCTCTCAGTGAGAACTTTGTATCTACTGGATACTTACATGAGCAGAACATTGCACCCTGCAGCAAACCTACCACTGTGAATGTTAAGTAATCAAGTTTCCTGAATTTTGGCCCCGAAGCTCATCTCTAAAACAGGAATATTTGTAGTACCAAACTTACCAGCTTGTGAGGAATAAATGAGATAATATATGTAAAATTCTTTGCAAACTATAAAAAGCACTCTATGAGCCACTTATAAAGTGTTATGTAATAAGCCACTTGTAATTTTATAGTATTAATGGATTACAAACAGTTATAAAGCACTTATGTACAAGGAACTGTCCAAGGTGCTATAAATACAAACAGAAAATGAAAAATTTCCTGCCCTTTAAGAGCTCACATTCTACTGGGATACAATATTTTATGGAATATCAATCAGTCAATCAATAAACATTTATTAAGTGCCTGCTATGTACCAAGTACTGTGTTAAGCACTGGGGATACAAAAAGAGGCAAAAGACAGTCCCTGCCTTCAAGGACCTTACAATCTAAAGGTGAAGACAACATGCAAACAAATACACACAAAGCAAGTTATACACAATATAAAAAGGAAATAATTAATAGACGGAAAGCATTGTGAGGAACGTGTCTTGTAAAAGTTGGGATTTTAGTAGGACTTGAAGGAAGTCAGTATTTGGAACAGAGGACAGAGATAGAGAGGACATTACAAGGATAAGGGAAAACCAGAGAGAACACCTAGAGCTGAGAGATGGAGTATCTTGTTTGAGTCAGGGACTCTGAAACAAAATCTTGCAGTATAATGACCTGGCACAAATGACTTAACTTCTCTGAATCTTAGTTCCTTGGATAAAGGATTATTTCATTCATTGTATTTGTATCCCTAGGATCTAGTACAATGTCCTGAACATAGTAGCCACTTTAATACTTGTTAATTATTTGGTTTCTTCATCTGTGAAATGGGATGGTGGGAGAATAAAAAGTTGAACTGGATATTCTCTTGAGCCCCTTCCAAATCTACTTGATTAGTATCATTAATTTGATGGAACCTTGATTTCAACAGCATACAGAGTCCTACAGATGCACATCACAGCCCCTACATACTTCACACTGTTTTTTGTCCATGTTTTTCAAGAATCCTGAATACAGGATCCACTCAATGGACTGTTGCACTTACTCAAATTATTTTTAATATCAGGGCAGCAATATATTACCTTGCAATATTCACTCATTATTTCTTATTCTCCATGTATGAATCCATCTCCTTTTCCAGTCATCTAGATCAGGGCTTCTTAAACTTCTTCCATTTTCAACCCCTTTAGTGCTTCCTGAATTGTGGGTCTCGACCCTAAATTGAGATCTACATTTAGAACTGAAGGTCACCTGGTCCAACACCTTAATTTTACAGACAAGGACATTAAGATTCTGGGAGGTGAAGAGAATAACTGCACAGAGCTGAAATTTGAAACCAGGTCTTCTGACTCCAAATCCAACAACTTCTTTCTTTGTACCTTATTGTCTTTTGTAGCCCTTTTCCAGTAACAAGTCACCATTAGTAATAAGATGCAACTTACTGAAGACTACTATGCTTTTTCATTGCCCCTGACCTTATCTCAAATTTTTATTGTCCCAAGATTGTGTTGTTCCACCACCCACTGCCAAATACCACCAATAAGATAATTGCCATTAGAGAGTCATTATTTTGCAATCCAATGATTGTTTCATGAACTTAGACAACAGGGAATGTCTAAACTAAAAATGAATGTCTCTTCTCTGCCAAAACCCACAGAGTAACACAATATCCCTTTATAAGTAAAGGGCTGGCTCTGCTGGAAAACATAACAATGGGAGCTGCTGATTTTTACAAAGGAATTAAACAGTAAACTAAACAGTAAACAAGAAAAAATGTTTTATGGCCATCAACATATCCTTCACTTACTAACTCTGTCCAAGATTCATAGCTAATCAATAGGAATCAACACTATGACAAAACAGTCAGCTATTTTGGATTCAATGCTGTATTTTCTTCTAGACTTTCTGGACTTCATAATGATGCTTTTTCTACCAATGGCTCATCCTGGAACTTCCCTCAGTGCCTAGGGACTCAGGAAGAACCACACCTGCCATCTGCTCAACCATCTCCCATTGGTGAGTTCCTCCTGGAGGTTCCATTTAATGTTTACTGAATGATTGGGGGGGGAAGGGGTGTGTGTGTGTGTTTTTACATGGTAAGATCTGGACACCAGTTTTACCAGTTTTCCCTTTCCAAATGGGGTGTACAAGTAGAATATTTGAAAAATAAGCATACTTTTAATAAAAGTTATTCACTTTGAGTATATATTTTCGAAGGTGTCCTTTCAAATATCTTCAAGTAAAAGGATTCCACAGTTTTTCCCAGTAAAATTCTCTATTTAACATCTCATTGAAATGAATATTTTCTAGTCTTCCACCTCCAGTTTCTTTACTTCAGACACAAATCTCATATGATGGCCACTTTAAATCAAATAACCTTTGTTATAACTCAGTCTGTATCCTTATAGAAAGAGGTAAACTTTAGACATTTAATGAATTAAGGTTTTGGTGCAGTAACAAATAGAAGAAATCAAACTGAAAATAAGTAGTTTCTGTAACAATAGATGGACTACTCAATGGCATCTGTAAGGCACTGTAAAAGATGTTGTTTCAAAAGAAAAAATTCATGTTACATTTTTTGTTTTAGGAGAAATCACTCCTGGGACACTGATGTTAACCTTTTGAAAAATAAGTTCCCTTAAAAAAGATTTTTTCTTGAAGATATTCATCAGATGATTTTTAGAAATGGAGAAAAAAGCAGCACTATATACAGTTTTGCAAAAGCAGCTTTACTTATATAAACTCCCCTGCTTATTCAATCCCATCAGCTTCTAGCACTCAGATTAAAAGTGATCGTTAAAACAAATACTTAATAGTAACCTTCCTCCTCCCACCCTGCCGAAATTTTCAGCATTTCATTTGGACAAGGAAACAAATAAAATCCAGAGAAATCACCAGGAACAAATTTCCCTCATTTTTTTTTTTGTTGATTCTCAACACAAACATTCTATCTCCTTAAATCTTTAATGATGTCGACAGCATCCCTTCCACCTAATCTATCCCTAGGCTTCCTTAAAATGCTATCTAAATTCCAGTTACTCATCATTATTGCCACACAGGCTCATCCCTGGTTTCCGAAGGGAAGACGTAGGAGGGGAGGCTCGGCGAACTGCAGGCCAGGGGAGCCGCTCGGCGCCAGCGCTGGCCCCCTCCCCCAACGGGGACCAGATGGAGACGGTGGGGGCGACCAAGGGGAACGAGCGAATGGCGCAGAGAATAAATACTAGGAGTCTTGCACCTCAGGAAAAAAAGGCGCACATCTGCGTCAGGTTTCCCAGGTCTGTCCTTCCGAGACAGTTCCTCCCCCTCATTCCCCTTCCCTCCCCCCAACCCAGGATGGACCCTGGGGTCCATCACAGCGCCTGCCTCGGGACCTTCCCCCGAAGCCATCATTTCCCTCTCAAAGCATAGCTCCTCCGCCACAACGAGCCCCGCGACCTTGGCAGCCCCCACACCAGACAGCGAGCGGCGGCCCCTGCGGTGGGATCGGGGGGTGGGGAGGTGGCTGGCTGGAACTGCCTGGGTCCGTCCGGCCTAGCCAGCCTCCCTCCTTTCCTCGTTCCCCTCCTCCTCCTCGTTTTTCCTTCCTCCTCTGGTCTCCCAGCACTAGGGAGGTGGTGGAATCTGCCCCTGACTCGCTCCCTTCCGTCCACCGCACCCCGCTTCGGCCTAAACTAACTGCGTACGCAGGTTGCCTCGGTCCTTACCTGAGAGCGAAGACCCCGCTTACCGAGGCGGCGGCAGCACCCGCTTCTCCTCAGCCCGACGGCTCAGCCCCTGCTCCTGCCACGGCCAGCGCGCGATCGATCCCGGCATCCTCCGCTCCACGCCAGGGCCTCCCAGTCCACCGCCCGCCCCTTTCTCTCATCACACGTGACCCCTCCACTCCTTCCCCGCCCACTTCCGCTCATCAACCTTCCTGGAGGTGGGAGGGGGAAGTCGAGGAGCTCAACTTCCTCCTCCTCCTTCTCCTCCTCCTTCTCCTCCTCCTTCTCCTCTTCCTCCTCGTCTCCCCTCTTTCCCCCGCCTCCTTCCCCCGTTATTCCTCACCCCCGTCCTTCTCTCCAACACCTTCCGGGTCGCAGGCGCCGAGGTGCCCTCTGGGTAACCATCTCATTTCCTCCCCTCCCCCTCCTTCTGCCCTCGACCAACCAGCCTCCCGTCAGGGAGGGACATGCGCAGTGTGAACCTCCCATCTCTTCTAACAGAACCCCCCTCCCCCCCAAACCAGAGAGACCCCAGCAGCAGCAGCAGCTGATGATGAAGAGAGAGGCAGAGGCTAAGGGGGGGCACCTTTTATTTCTATTTTTAAAGGGACAGGACACTAATTTTACCCCACTTCAACCTTGAATTGCGAAGGGGGGGAGGCGATTGAGTTCCTTCCCCCACCCTCCACCCCTGATCTCAGAGAGGGGAATTGAGCCTGAGAGAGAAGGAGAGTTTCTTCTTCTTCTTCTAACCCCCCCCTTACCACTCCTGCCCCCCTCCTCTCTCTCCTCCACCCCCTCCACCCCCCTCTCTTTGGCCGTGAGAGGAGGAGAGAAAAGAGACCAAAAGCCTCTTAGCAACACAGCCCCTTCTCTGCTGCTGCTGCTAAAGCTGCTGCTAAAGCTGCTGCTGCTGCTAAAGCTGCTGCTGCTATTGCTGCTCCTGCTGCTGCTGTTGCTTGGCCCTGGCTGGAGACATCTCACTACACCCAGGAGCAGCCACTTCCCCCAGTTCTTCTCCTCCTCTCCTCCTCCTCCTCCTCTCCTCCTCCTCCACCTCCACTCCCCCCCTTTATTACCCTTTGTGTCATCCTCCACAGCTCCAGGGAAGGGACTCAAAAGTGGGGGGCAGGAAAGGTAAGTGTGTCTGTGGGGGCTTCATTGCCTCCCTCTGGCTCTGACTTTCACTTCGGGGCAACAGTAGCACCAAACCACATACGCAGTGGAGATCGGGGGGTGAAGTGGGGGGCGTAGGTGGTGGTGCTGGGAGGTGGGGGGGAACTGAAGAAGGGAATGGACTAGAAAGTCTGTGTGTGTGGTGGGACGCCCATCTCCCTCTTGCTAGCCAGGAAAAAGGACACTTTTATTTTTATTTGTTGTTTGCAAAAGTGATTTCTCCCCTTCATGTGGCAGATTATTGTGTCTCTTTGCTTCAGTGGGGTAATACAGAAAAACAAACCCCTTCCTGCAATGGGGCTGGGGGGGAGGGGGAGGGAGGCAGAGAGAGAGAGACTGACTGACTTTTTAGATCTGTCACTTTAAAAAAAATTCAATTGCATAGCCTTTTTTCTCTTTGCCCAGTAAAACCTACACTGGGTTTGATTCTGAGTGGGGAAATGTCATAATATGAATTGTATTAGAACTACTTTGCCCATTTATAGACGTGAGTGTTTTCCCCTTTTTGGCCCTGTATCTAATTTGGATATTGACTCCAGTTTTGGAGTAGGCTTCTTGGTATTTTTGGTTTTGTGGTTGAAATTTCAGTTTTTAGTTGTATTTGTTTCTCAGAGATATAGATTTCTCTTGTAAAGTATTGAAGATCTTTACTAATAGAAGTGATAGGGCATGGTTTGTCTTCTATCCTTCACTTTTTAGCTAATTGGTTCCATATATCACTATATAAAGTTTAATGCTCAAAAGGCAAAGTTTAAATAATACCTGTATTTTCTTTTTCCATATTCATTTCTGATGGAATTTTTTTCCAGTAAGGTTTGAATTATAACTGCTGTATAATTAAGTCGAGTATTCCACTTCTTTTAAGTTAGCAGAAACAAGTCACCCCCACTTGAAAACTTTCGTTATTTTGATTTCAAGGAAAGCCAAGCTTTTCCATCAATAGTTTGCTGGATTGGGTATCACTTTCAGTTTTAACTGAATTATTTATTTACTCTTGTAAATTGCGATGAATTTTTCATCTCTTGGGGTAGTGAACCTATTTGCTTATTACATATAAAAGAAAGATTTTTGAAAGATGCTTTTGAGAGTCAGGAAAATCACAAAGTGTAGGAGTCATGGTGTCAGACAAAAAACAGCAAAGATATATAGGCTTAAAGCTTATTCAGCCATTATTTTTATTTAAAAATATTGTTTTCTGTTTTTATAAATAACCTTCCCTTACTGATTTTCCTTAGAATTGGGGGAGTGCTTTCATTTTGCAAATGCTAGAAAGTATGTTTCTGAACGCTAGTGTGTAGGCCTTTTGGTAAGGCTTGAGTTAGAAAATGGTATTCAGTTTCATATATGCATGTTCTTTATCCTTTATTTGAAGAGGGATATACACGTACATATACACACACAAATCCTTTCTTTGTAAATGCATTGGTATCTCTGATCCCATAATTTATGTCAGCAAAAAATACTCTTCTGTAAAGCAGCAATTTTGTGATCAGACTAGCAATATGAAAACAGCAGTTTGATCAGCCTGGAAAGGATGGGTGAAAAATAAATCTAGAATGATATGTAACATAAATATTATGAATAAGTGATTAGAGAAATAAATATAACTAGCAGTTTTAAATTTTAATCTTGTATTTTTTAGATTATTAAATCAAAGGAGATTATATTAGTGTTCTAATATGACATGCATATGTGCAGAAACTTGCTCTGTAAAATTGTAATTAACAACTTGTGCAAAAGTAGTCATTTACATTAAGGGGAAAAAATGCTGTTGAAATAAGCATATGATTCTATTCCTGTTCTCTTGTTACAGATTAATATAGTCCTTCTCTTGTCTTTATTTGAGGTGATATTGATGTGTTTCATATGCAAGCAGAAACCTTTGCCATGTTCAGATTTATTCCCCTAAACATCAATATCATTTCAGGTCCAACTATGATTTTCTATCCTCTAGATAGAACCAGAGCAACCTGTAACTTACGAGACATAGGGTGGCACTTTAGTGAAGAAATCAATTTAAAGTGAAGAAAATTGTGGAGATAACTGGGGTGGTTCAAAATAGTTGCCCAGTGGGCAGCTAAGTAAAACTTCTCAGATTTGTATGTTAAGTACAATACCTTTTATTTGCCCTGTGCAATTTAACCTCTGAAAACCTCCCCCAGTACCTTATGTAGATTCCTATCTAAGTAACCCTTTGTGGGCTGTTTATGCTAAACTCTCCAAAATGAAGCAGATTAACTAGTATTTGAAAATATTATTGATGGTGGTTTCATCATTTTTTGGGGGAAAAACAGTTGCACTGTTAGTGTCATAGGAGTATAATACTAGTAACTCATTTATGTAGTCCTTTAAGGTTTACCAAGAACTTTCCACACAATATTGTGAAAGAGTACCAATATTATTATCCCCATTTTAGAGATGAAGAAACTGAGTTGAGGAGAAAGTAACATACTTAACCAAGGTCAAGTAACTAAAATCCAACCCTTCTGACTCAAAGAGTAAAATTTTATTGTCTTTTTTTTTTTTTAGCTCACAAGGACTTTAGAAATAATTTAGCCCCTACCCGTTTCTCTATGCAGCTCCAATTTTACAGATCTATCCACTGAGGCCCAGAATGATTAAGAAAGCAATTCAAGGTCACACTGTTTTCCAATAGCAAAATCAGGACTAGAATTTAGGGCTCCTCCTTACTTTCAGCAAATGGCCTTACTGCAAGATCAAATGCCTTATTTTAGTTTGTATAACTTTTTGAATTTTTCTTTAAAATTATGTTTGGAGGTTTGGTTTTTACAAAGAACTAAGAAATTAGGTTTTGAAAAGCATGTAATTTCTATGAGAAGTTTAAAGTAAAAATCAAATTTACAGTTTTATGACAGTAAACAATGCATTTCTATCTTAATTTGAATAATTTGGCATTGATTTTCTATGTGATAAATTGAATTCATCCATAATCAAATAGTTTGTTACTTTCTTGAGAGAACCAGGTTATTTCCTTCCAAATTTGCTCCTTTCCCCCTTATTTTAATCAGGCAGTCAGTTTTCCTTCTACCATTGTATTAAGGATCCATAACTGACTTTTTGCAATAATAAATAAAACTCAAGAACTAGAATGCTGTCTTTTTAGGTGTGCTTCTCCCTCCCTTCCTCCCTAGCTTTTTATTTGAAAAATAATTTCATTTTCTGGTTTTTGTCCTCCCCCCTTCCAAACTTTCATTAACAGTTGGATTATGTATATAAATCCTACTGTAATGTTACTTATCATAGGAAAGAAAGACTACTGGCCATCTTAATAAAAGCATAGAATATTCTTAAAGAATTTTTTTTGATAGATGATAGGATTTTAGTAGATAATGGTCGTTGATCCAGATTGGAAAAATGTGCTAACATATTTGATTTGAAACTGATTTAGTTGACTTTAATTTTATAAGGTGATGAATACAATGATAGGTCATTGGAGTAATAGGACCGCTTGCCCAGGTATGCAAAGTAGCAATTATTTTAGAGGTCCTTTTTCTCCCTAGAGGGTTTTTGTTTTTTGTTTTTGTTTTGTTTTTTGAGGAGAGGTGGGCAGTCTTATCCAAAGAGTTGTAAGCTTTGCACTTGGCAAACACCTATGTCTAATCTTCAGGGGGATATACCTGAAGTCCCCCAGAAAACTCCAAAATAGATTATATAATATGTTTACCTGAAAAAAATTTTTTGATGTATTTCAAATCTATTGACTGTGATGCTTTCATGTTTCTATATAATGTATCTTTTACATAAATTAAATAGACACTGTTAGGTGGGGAAAGCATGTGTTTAGAAGAGTATTACTGTATGTTATTAAAACAGTATGATTTTAAAATGAATTTTCCACTTAATACAATATTCTGGATGTTTCCATTGCTCCCTTTGGACAATGAAAATAGACTCTATGGTTTCCATTTCTAGTTCTTCAGAACTAACCACAGTGATGTTAATACAATACTATACCAATATATAACCCAGTGTTTTAAAAAGAGCATTTTTCTGTAATTGAAAAAGTAAGCTGTTGAAAACTTTTCTCAAGAGTGGAATTGCTGATATCAACTCATATTTAGCAGTTTGTTTCACATAATCATTTAAAAATTCATTTTTCCAAAAATTCTTACTTTTTTTGCTTTTGGGTTTTTTCCTTTCCAGATTTTATTTATATAACACCTGGCAGTATACCATTTCTTAAGTATGATTTAATTAGGTAGTACTATGCCCTATTTTGGAATTTTTATTAAAGCATACTGGGATGTCTGCTAGAATTGATAGCTAAGCTTTTCTGCTCTAAATAAGTTGGGACTTTAAAAATTGTTATTTAATGATGTTTCTATAACTTTAAGAAAATTACTTGATAATAAGTCCGTAAATGAATGCCCAAAAAACAGTGAATGTCATACCATTTCATATCATGGTTAATAGTTCCGGTGGAGTTGCCCATTAGGTAACAAAAGGATTGAATTCATGTTGGTCCTTTTGTGATATTCCTTTTAGAACAAGGCTTTTCTCTTGGGGTTCATAAACTTGCTTTTAAAATATTTTGATAACTATATTTTAATATAATTTGTTTCCTTTGTAATTCTTATGTATTTTATTTTGTGTTCAAAAACATTACTCTGAGAGTCAATAGGCTTCATCAGACTTCCAAAGGAGTCCATGATTTGAAGAAGGTTAAGACCCCCTGTTTGAGAACAGTATCTGAAGAACAAGTTATGTGCTTTTATGAAGACAAGTAAATATCAGCTTTTGTTCTTGTGACTGTTTTCAAATGGCTTCATATTGCACAATTCTAGAACTATTAAAACTTTTATCTTTACTCTTAGAAAAATACTTTTTTGCACACTAATAATAATTTGTAAGTACTTAGTAGTGTTTAGCAGTGTACGTATAATAAAAATTATAGCTTTATAATAATGGGAAATGGCATATTTTTCTTTTTCTGGGACATA